ATTTGGATAATCTATTGAATTGTCTTGTTCTTTTCCAGTAAGAACCCATGTAATGAATGGTTTTATTTTGTTTTTTTCAGCTGTACGGGGAGGAAACTTAATAAAATTTAATCAAGTTTTAGCTAAATTTGGTTCCAAATTCCAAGCAGAAGATACATATACATTGATAATACGATTACGTCACAATGTTATTAAAACCGGTGTTCGTATGATCAGTTTGTCCTATTCTAGAATATCATTGGTTGATATAGCCAGTAAACTTTGTTTAGATTCACCTGAAGATGCAGAATACATTGTAGCGAAGGTTAGTATGAGTTATGTCCCTTGTGAACTTATTTCAATATAAACCTCTCAGAGTAGTATTCTAAGTTGATATTTCAATTCATGAGAACATATTGATAAAATGTGATTCTATAAACCTTTCGGTCGGACAATAAACATTATGTGTTTTACCAGGCTATACGAGATGGTGTTATAGAAGCGAGAATAGACCATGAGAAGGGTTACGTCCAATCGAAAGAGACTAGTGATATTTACGGAACCAGAGAACCAATGGCTGCCTTCCATCAACGTATCAGTTTCTGTCTTGGAATACACAATCATTCTGTTAAGGTGAGGTTTTGTACGTTAAAAACAATCTATATTTTGGTTGATGCTTGATTTTGAAAATCTTTCTAAGTAGACTTTTGGTCTAATTGGTATGCATATTAGTGATATCTTTCTAAGTAGAATTTTGGTCTAATTGGTATGCATATTAGTGATATCTTTCTAAGTAGACTTTTGGTCTAATTGGTAGGCATATTAGTGATATCTTTCTAAGTAGACTTTTGGTCTAATTGGTATGCATATTAGTGATATCTTTCTAAGTAGACTTTTGGTCTAATTGGTATGCATATTAGTGATATCTTTCTAAGTAGAATTTTGGTCTAATTGGTATGCATATTAGTGATATCTTTCTAAGTAGAATTTTGGTCTAATTGGTATGCATATTAGTGATATCTTTCTAAGTAGAATTTTGGTCTAATTGGTATGCATATTAGTGAAATCTTGAACAGTTGTACCTTCTGTCCACTTCTGGCTACTTATATTGATGACTATATTATAAAATTGTTTATGAAATATTTTGTCTCTTTTCAGGCGATGAGATTTCCACCAAAGTCATACAACAAAGATCTAGAATCAGCTGAGGTTAGTACAGAATTTTTTCTGGGTGTGAGAACAGTTTGGGCTGGGGGTGGGGAAATATGGAACTAGATTTTCTCAAAAACTCAATTCAAGATTATCTTAGAGTTCAAGTTATCTGGTTGTNTTAGACTGTTAGTGGTATTCTTGCATGCAGGTTTTATGACATTGTAAACTCTCTCGGAATGA